GTGTCTCGGAGCGCTTGACAGTGACGTGAGCCATGGAGGATGGGGAGGTGACCCTTGGCATGGTCGAAGGGTTTTAAGGTGGGAATTGAAGACTGGTAGAGAGAGGACGAGGCAGAGAGGTAGAGGCAGGGAGTTCCAGAGGTTAAGGTTGGGTGTTAGCCGGGCGCAGTGGTGGAGCTCTTGCCACTGAGTCAGAAGCTTGTGGGTTCAAACCTCACGTCAGGACTTGGAATTGCATATCTAAGCTGACCCTCCGATGCAGCGCTGCGGGTTTGCTGCATTTTCGGAGGAGCCGTCCTTCAGATAAGATGTTAAACTGAGGTCCTGTTGCCTGTTCAGGTGGACGTTAAAGATCCTGTGGCACTATTGGAAAAAAGAAAGGAGTTTTTCTCTCTGTGTGTGTCCTGGCCAACAACCCCCCCAAATAAAATCGCTCTCTCACTGCGCGGCTGTTTGATGGGACACCATGTGGGCAATTGGCTGCCGCGTTTCACCCACAAAATACACCGTCAATTCACTCCACTCCAGTGAAGCGCTTTGAGACGTTCCGAAGAAGTGGTAAAGCGCCGTATCAAACGCGGGGATTATGTATTAATTTTTTAGGACTGGGGTGACCGACGACTTGGAGACGTGGAGCAGGTGGGGGGGGTTGGGGGGGGGGTGCTGGTGGTGGTGGGTGGGGGGGGGGTGCAGGAACAGGTCTGTGTGAGCTGAGCGGAGGATTACCGGGAACGACGGACGGTATTTGCTCGGTCGTGTCTCAGGTGAGACTCAAGTTGTTTTAAGGTGATCTGTCGCCCTCCGGTGGCTGCTCTGTGTTTAGCGATACAATAATAATAATAATAATAATAATCTTTGCATTTGATATAGTGCTTTTCACGTCGGGAGGACGTCCCAAAGCGCTTCACAGAACACACTGTAAAGTGAATTGACTGTATATTTGTGGGCGAACGCGGCAGCCAATTGCGCACAGCAATGTCCCACAAACAGTCGTGGGTTGAAAATGACCAATTTATTATTGTTTGTGGTTTTGGAGGGATTACTATTACAATACAATACGAAATAACAAAGCCATAGGCGACCTCTGCAAACCAAACCGCTGGAGCTCCTACATTCCTTTGGGTGGAAAGCACAGTACGCTCTCTCTCTCTTGTTCTGTCTCATAGGCAGCAGTTCGCTAGGGCTGGAGGGGCTCAGTCCCCCCAAATAATAATGATAATAATTATAATAGTAATCCTTGCATTTGACATAGAGCCTTATCGCGTCTTCGAGACGTCACAAAGAGCTTCGCAGAGTAGGCTGTAAAATTAATCGACTGAATATTTTGTGGGCGAAACGCGGCAGCACAGCAGCGTCCCCACAAACTGTCATGGGTTGAGTGGACACGTTTTTTTTAATGAGGGATTATTACCCCCCGAAAAGTATACGCCGATCGACTAACAACCGGTTTCTGCCTCGGTTGAATGTCAACAAGACCGAGGCCCTCTTGCTCGGCTCCCATCAGCGCCTCCACACCTCAGCCGCTGACAGCAGCACCATCCGTGAATGCACACTGCACCTCACAGAACCAATATGGTACCTTGGCTTCCTGTTCGATCCTCAACTGTCCTTCGTCCCCCACATCCATGCCATGACCAGCTCCACCTTCCCCCACCTCCGCAATATTGCTCGGCTCTGCCACTGTCTCTCACCACAGGTCGCCGAGACCCTCATCCACGCGTTCATCACATCCAGGCTCGACTACGCAAATTCCCCGCTTGTCGGCCTCCCCAACTCCTCCCTCCATCGGCTGCAGATCATCCAGAACTCTGCAGCCCATGTCCTCTCCCGCCTCAGGTTCCGTGACCCTATCACCCCCATCCTCACCCGACTCCACCGGCTTCCCATCACACAGAGGATACAGTTCAAGATCCTGGTCCTCACCTTCCAAGCCCTCCATGTTTTGCTTCCCCCGACCTCTGCGACCTCCTAACCCCCTAACAACGCTCCCGCTCCCTCGGCTCAGCGGGCTCCAGCGTGCTTCACGTACCCCGCCTGGCCAACCCCACCACTGGCGGGCGGGCCTTCAGCCTCTCTGCCCCCTCCCTCTGGAACTCCATCCCGCAGTCCCTCCACTGCCCTGACTGTCAGCGCCTTGGGACGTCCTCCTGACGTGAAAAGCGCTGTGTAAATGTCATTTCTTATTGTTGTTGTTGTTTACTGCTGGGTACACAGGTGTGTGGGAGTAAGTAAACGTGCCTAAGGTTTCACGCCGCCCGGGAATCAAACCCGGGTCCTCTCGCTTGCGAGGCGAGCGCGCTAACCGTTGCGATACGGGATTGACTCCACCTGAAGAAGTACTGTGGACAGTTCTGATCCCTGTGATATTAAGGGGCTGTTTAGGCGCTAGAGACAACGCAGAGAAGAACAGCAAGTTCGATGTCAGAGGAATGAGCTACGAGCAATGTTTAGACAAGTGACAAACAATATCTCAGAGATGGATAAGACTTTAAATAGGAAATTGAGAAAATAAACTCAGATCAATAATTTAGATGAAAATACTAAGCATTATCCCCTGCATTGATGCAGCACCTTGTCATGTCATCAAACCACCTCAAAGTGCTTGACAGGATTTCCTGTAGAGTGCAGCAACTGTGCGTTGTGTAAGCGAGCACGCCTACGATATACACAGTCACTACACTCTACAGTAACTTTTTCTTTGCAGGCAAGCCAAATTTGCACATGGCGAATACGTACCGTTTGGGGGAATGTTGCTGTATGTAAATTGGCTGTGGCGTTCGCCTGCGGAAAACTGTCACTGGACTTCACAGTTAAATCCTTTGGAACTCCTGCAAACAGCCATGGAGCGAGTGAACAAGTTTATCTGGGGGATGGGGGTGGGGGGGATTAATAGTCAGCCAAATCTCTTTCCCAACCGTGTCTGCGCTGGAGCTCACTCCCATTTTTTTGCCCAGCCTGGCGTCTGACACGTGTGGAAACCCATCACCGTTGCTTAAGCGTCTCCGAACCAAGCTGAGAATTTCCATGGAAAATTTCCCACCTACACGTGGGAGATTCCAGAGATAGAAGGGGCTGCCTGCGCTTACCCCCATTTCCCTGCTCGTGCCCCTTGTGGACTTTTTTATCCCCACCTTTGAATATTTGATCCAAATTCCCTCTCACTGCGTCTCAGCCTCAAAAGCCATGACTCAGGCACTCCCAGGACACCGGGGGGGGAATCTCCCTTCTCTTCTTCCGCGAGGGATCTTTGACGTCCACCTGAACTGGGCAAAGATGTGGGGGTGGTGGGGGGGCTCTGTTTAACAAAGGACATCAACTCCGTCGATGCAGTCTTCCCCTCCGCACTGGACTGNGGGTCAGCCTAGATTGTGAGTTCTGATTGCAGTTACCCCGGCGCACACTCTGCGCTCCCCCCAAGCCTTGGCTCTTACCAACCCGTGCCTAATACTGTCCGGAATTAGGTAAGCAAAATGCCTCTCTCTCGGGATAGAGTGACCCTATCACCCCCATCCTCACCCGACTCCACCGGCTTCCCATCACACAGAGGATACAGTTCAAGATCCTGGTCCTCATCTTCAAAGCCCTCCATGGTCTTGCTCTCCCCCTCCCTCTGCGACCTCCTAAAACCTACCATCCTGCTCACTCCCTCCGCTCAGCGGGCTCCGCCTGCTTCGTGTCCCCCGCCTCGCTCGCCCCACTATTGGCGGGCGGGCCTTCTGCCACCCTGCCCCCACCCTCGGAACTCCGTCCCCCAGTCCCTCCGGCTCAACCCCTCCGTTGGCTCATTCAAAACCCACCTCAAGGCCCTCCTCTTCCGACTATGCTTTCGATCTCCCTGCTCCCCCCCCCCCCCCCGCCTCCCCCCCGCCCTCCACCGTCCCCGACCCCCAGCTCGGGACCGAAACTCTGTCTGTCCAGCCCCTCGGGACGTCCTCCCGACGTGGAGGGCGCTTTACGAATGTCATTTTGTTGTTGTTGTTGTTGTATTCAATTCCAACAACCTCTCTCCGGGATTCCCGCGTGTTGGGAGGGATGTGTGGAATTCTCGGCTTGGTTCGGAGACTCTAAAGCAACGGCGATGGGTTTCCGTGTGTGTCGGCCGCCCGGTCGGACAAAAACAAGAAGTGAAGTGCAAAGTCCCCAACAACATAACAGGAGGTGATGGGGGAGTGAGAGGGGATCAAAACTCAGGACCTCCTCAATCCAGGAGGGGAGGGAGAGAGGGGGGAAATCTAATTAAATATCATTTCAGGGGGAATTTTTTAAATCTATATATACATATATATATATGTATATATATCTATATATATGTATATAAGTGCTGAGGAAAGGGGACAGAGAATTGAGAGACCAGAACATTGAGAGAGACAGAGAGAGGAAAAAACTTTTCCCCAATTCTTTTCCCTCTCTGTCTCTTTTCCTCTCTCACTCTATCTTTTTCGTCTATTTTTCTCTCTCTGTCTCTTTCTCTCTGTCTTTTTATCTTTTTCTCTGTTTCTTTTTCTCTCTGTCTCTTTCTCTCTCTGTCTTTTTATCTTTTTCTCTCTCTCTCTGTCTCTTTCTCTCTGTCTTTTTATCTTTTTCTCTCTCTCTGTCTTTCTCTCTCTCTCTCTCTGTCTTTTTATCTTTCTCTCTCTCTCTGTCTTGTCTTTTTCTCTCTCTCTCTCTGTCTCTCTCTCTCTCAGTCTCTTGAGAAAGTTTCCCCCTCTCAGTAGTTTATTTCGGGGACAAGAAACAGAACCAACGAATGGAACTGAAAACTTTTCCCAAACTTTTTGTAAGAGCATCAAAACTTTTTCCCTGTGTGTGTGTGTGTGTCCTCTCTCTCTCTCTTTCTCTCTCTCTTCCTCTCTATCTCTGTTTGAGAAAGTCTGTTTTAGTTGCAGGAAACGGAACTAACGAAACAAATACTGACGAGGCTGAAATGTACTTTTTTTTCCTCCCTTTCCTTTCACCCTCCTCCCTCCCTCCCCCCCTCTCTCCCTCTATTCCTTCCTCTCTCTCTCTCTCTCTCTCCTCCCTCCCTCTCTCTCTCTCTGTGCCCCCTCTCTGTGCCCAGCTTTGCCCCCTGTGCCCAGCTTTGCCCCCTGTGCCCAGCTTTGCCCCCTGTGCCCAGCTTTGCCCCCTGTGCCCGGCTTTGCCCCCGAGCCCCGGTAAGAGGTGATGGAGAACCGAAAGGACAAGGCTTTCCTCAAGAGCCCCCTGGGTGTGCTGAGGCTGTCACACATCCTCCTTGACGCTCTGGTGTGGATCACCATCGCCTCCAGGAGATACGAGGGAGCTGTCCACTTCGCGGTCTTCGTCGCCGTGCTCTTCTGGCTGACCGCCCTGGCTCTCTTCATCTGCACTCTGCTGGGCAAGAGCGAACTGGTGCCCTGCCTGGGGGCAGAGCGCTGGCTCCTCACCAACACCTGGCACGACGGGCTGGCCACCCTGGGACACCTGGTCGCCTGCGGGGTCATGGTCTACAAGACCAAGGAGAAGAACTTCTGCAACGTGACGGCCTACAGCTTCAGCTGCCTCTACAGCCTCTATCTCACCGCCACCGTCTTCCTGGCGCTCTGCGCTTTCCTCTACCTCCTCTCGGCCATTTATTCTGCCTACAAGGCCAGCCAGGGCCACACATCCCTCTTCTGACATGCTCTGTGTATGTGCGTGTGCATTTGCGGGTGCATGTGTTAACGTGTGTGTGTGTGTTAAGTTCTCTGGGATGCTATCCTGCGTGAGGGGTGCTATACATCCAAGTTGATGTGTGTGTGTGTGTTTGTGTGCATGTGTATGAGTGTGTACAAGTGTGTGCGTATGAATGTGTGCGCGCGTGTGTGCTCTGCGTATGTGTTTGTGTGTGTACGTGTGTGTGCGTGTAGATGTGTGTGCCTGGTCTGCAGAAATTTCCCAGCTCATCAAATAAGGACTAATTATTTCAGGATGAATCTCTCCCAAAGCTGCAGACCCGACCAGACCAGAGCAGTCAATGGGTTCCTGTCAACTTCAGGGACACAGGAAAGTCGGCAGAAGAAAGTTTCAGAGTTTGGAGCAAGAGTTGGGAGCTTCAAGTGGACTTTTTGTGGGTGAAAAAAAAAGCAAGGATGGTTCTCACCCGAAACAGCCTGGGAACTGGGAACCGTTTACATATCCCTGACTGAACCCAGCAGCCAAAGACTTCATCATTTAGGTTTTAAGCTGGGGAAAAAGTTCCGAAAGAGAGAGAGAAAAAACACACGCGACGACCTCTATGTTTGATAGAGCGCCTTAATACGTGGTTGAGACCGCATCAAAGTGCTTCAGAGGATCTTGCTGTGCGGTGTGGTGACTGTGTGTTTGTGAGTGAATCTGTGCGCGTAACGTGACAGAACAGAGAGCATATCTGCCTCTCAGAGAGATATCAGCGGCACTATAGCCTCTTCAGTTTGAGACCCCATATCAGGGACTTTGAGCTCGCGGCCTAGGCTGACGACAACAACAGCAACAACTGCAACGACGACTTGCATTTACATAGCGCCCTCCACGTCAGGTAATGTCTTGGGTGCAAAGCACCGGGGGGAGGGAGAGAGAGAGAGGAGTGAGAACACCGCATTGTCAGAGAAGCAGTCCTTTAGACGAGATGTTGAACCTCACTCCCCGTCCCTGCCCTGTTCAGGCGGACGTTAAAAGATCTCCCGCAGCGCTGTTGGAAAAGAGAAAGGAGTTTGTCTCTCTCTCTCTCCCTCTCCGTGTGTCCTGGCCGACAATCCACGAGTGATAAAATCCACAGCTGTTTGTGGGGAGGTCGCTGTGTGTTAATGGAAAGGCGCTGTATCAAATGTGAGGATTGTTATTATGATTTAGACTTGATATTGTGGAGGGTGGGGGAGAGGGGGATCGTTATCCTGGGGATTGTGATATAGAAATATAAAGCATCATGTTTTCGCTGGTTGTGAAGTTTATTACTGGATGCCTAATCCACCCATTACTGAGCGCCTCGCTGTCGCTGCTCTCCGCACTGTCTCGCCGTGTTTCGGTTACGCCTGTCCCTCCGTTTATATCAAACAGAGTCTTTGCGTTTCATTTTATTTTATTCCACATGTAACCAGTTCGTGACGGACACAGTGAGTCCCTAGTGTTAGTAAACTCTGCATTCGCCACTGCACAAAGTCGCTGTGTGTTTTTTCTGTGTGTGTGTGTGTGTGTGTCTCAGCGCCGGGGCTCGCTCCCCCACTGGAGCTCTCTACTCTAACCCCATACCCTCCCCATGGTGTCTGCGCTGGGGCTCGCTCCCCCACTGGAGCTCTCTAACCCCATTCCCTGCTCTCTCTCCCCATTGACCCATTATCAACACCAACTTGCATTTACACATCGCCCTTCACGGGGAGCAGCGTCTCCGAGCGCTGATCACTGGTGGAACACGACGCCGAGCCGGGGAGAGAGGGGGAGGTGACCTTAGGGACGATCGAAAAGTAAGGACGTCAGGTAAGATGTGAAGATGGGCAAAGAGGTGGCGAGGCCGAGGGGTTGAGACCGGAAGTGATGTTATTCACTATGGACCCTTGGGGCCTTTTAGATGTGATGGATTTGGCGACCGACCGACCGACCGACAGACAGACAGACAGATGTCTGTATGAAACCCATTTCCTCCAGCGACACATCTAGTGATGACGGTATTATATTGTGGCTGGTCTGGCCGCAGGGGTGAGAGAGGACAGACAATTATGGAGTCAAGTAAATTCTTGTCTATAGGTGTGGCCTGTCAACCTGTCTGTCCGTCCGTCCATTCTGATACCCCTTCCCCACCACCCTCTCTCCTACAACAATAATAATCCCTGCATTTAATATAGTGCCTTACTACGTCATTGAGACGTCTCAAAGCGCTTCACAGAATATACTGTAAAGTGGAGTGACTGGAGTGATCTTGTGGGTGCAGTGTACCAGCCAACTGCGAACAGCGGAGTCCCACAAACAGTTGTGGATTGAGTGACCAAAAAACACAAGAGGAGAGATGAGAATTGTTTTTTTACCCAGAGAGTTGCTACGGTCTGGAATACACTGTGAAAGGCGGGTGGAAGCAGATTCAATAGTTTTCAAAAGGGAACTGGATAGGTACGTGAAAAGGAAAAATGTGCGGGGGAGTGGGGTACGAGCGGGGGAGTGGGGCGAGTTGGCAGCTCTTTCACAGATGGAGCACAGGCACGATGGGCCGAATGACCTCCTTCTCTTCCGTAAGACTCTTATTCTGTGAAAGTGATCCGCCAATCGACTAACAACCAGGTTCCCACTTACTGCTGGGGAAAACAGGCGTGTGGAGTAAGGAAATTTGCCTAAGGTTTGTCCCTGCCCGGGAAACCCACAACCCCCCCCCCCCCCCACCCACCAGTCCCACCGCCAACGGCTTTTCCAAACCAAAGCGAATATTACACGGAAAGTAAGGAGAAGGAGAGGCTGGGCTTTGATTTGCAACGTGGAGATTGACCAGCGAGATGGGGAATCGCCTGCCTTCCTCTCGTTAGCAACGGAAAATTCCGCAACTCCCTGAAGGAGCCCTGGAACCACATGACTCTGTGTTGGGGAGAGACGTACGACTGTGAATATGGTCCCCAGGTGGAAGCCATTATCTCAGCGCTGGCCTGGTAACGGGTTACGTATGGGGAGAGTTTTAACAGTCGTACGTCGGGAGGTGTGGGGGGGGGGGGGGTGGGGGTGGGGGGGGGGGGAGGACAATCAGACCCTAAGCAATGTCTGCCCTCTCTCCCCTCCTTAGGAATTTGGAAGCCGTTGTCCTGAGGAACCTTTAGACACTCACTGCACAGAAGAAGGCCATTTGGCTCATCGAGTCTGTGCTGGCACCTTTAAGGAGCAAATCTGTCCGTTCTATTTACCTTCGCCCCCCACCCCCCACCACCGCCGCTCAAACCCCCTAATAGTTTGCTCCTTTTTAGATTTCTCTGTCGTTCCCTTTTGTAAGTTAGTGCGTGAGGGACATGAATATGAAATATAAAACACACTTCCTTTTGCCCAGCCGGGTGTCTGATACACGCAGAAACCCATCACTGTTGCTTAAGAATCTCCGATGGATGAGAATCATCCCACCTACACATGGAAATCCCAGAGATATACTGTTGGAATGGAAAGCGCTCCCTCTCTCGCTCTCTCTTCCTGGAGACACAATCCGGTTTACCTAATTCCGGAGAGTATTAGGCGCAGGTTGGCAAGAGCCAAGGCTTGGGGGCCCCAGAGTGTGTGTTGGGGTAACTGCTGGAGTGTAACCCCCTAAACCCACACAGCTTGCCATTGATATCGCTGTCTGGCAAACTTTCAACCGCTTTACATTAAACCCTGTGAAGCGCTTTGAGATGTCTCGATGACACAATATCAAGTGCAAAGATCACAACAACAACAACTTGCATATCCTCAGTGACCTTCCCAGGCGGCAGGATTTCGGAGAGCTTAACATTGGCGGAACTGGACGCAGAGCCAGCGAGGAGGGAGCAGGTGACCATCAGCACTGTTGAAGAGGAAGGTCTTCGACAGGAGTGATCTGAAAATGGGGAAGGAGGGGGCAAAGGAGGGAGAGAGTTCCAAAGCTTCGGGGCGGAGTGGTATGTCCACCGATGGTGGAGGGCATGAGGGACAAGCGGTGAGGCCGGAGCCAGCCAACCAGAGGCAGTGGGTAGCGGAGCGGGGAATGAGCAGGTCGGAGAGGTAGGGAGGCGCCAGGGCGGGAGGGATTAATGTTTGAGGCTCTTGAAAGCGATCTGTTCTGCAATAGGGATCCAGTGGAGCCTGGTGAGGCCTCGGATGATTTGGTGACTCTGTATTTTGTAAGGCAACACGGCAGCTCCTTACAGCGTGAAAGGCACTAAATGCATGTAATAATAATAATAATAATCTTTGCATTTGATATTATCAAACACTTAATAAGGCGCTATATCAAATGCAAGGATTGCTATGATTATTATTTCTTGAATCGATTTCAAGATCCTCATCCTCACCTACAAGGCCATTCACGGCCTCGCTCCCTCCTACCTCTCCGAACTACTGTCCCCCTACCTACCTGCCCGTACCCTCCGTTCCTCTGGCTCCGGTCTGCTCCACATCCCCCGCCCCAACCGCCCTACCATCGATGGCCGGGCCTTCAGCCTCTCAGCCCCGAGGCTCTGGAACTCTATCCCCCAGTGCCTTCGCCGCCTTCTCCCTTTCCTCCTTCAAGGCCGGTCTCAAGACCTTTCTCTTTGACCGAGCCTTCAGCTCCCGTCTTGACTCTCTACCCCCTCCTCGCTCCCTCCCTTCCCTCCCCTCACCCTGACCATTTCCTCCCTCCTCGCTCCCTCCCTTCCCTCCCCTCACCCTGACCATTTCCCCCCTCCTCGCTCCCTCCCTTCCCTCCCCTCACCCTGACCATTTCCCCCCCGGCTCGGGTCCTGACCCAACTGTCCAGCGCCTTGGGACGTCCTCCCAACGTGAAAGGCGCTCTTTAAATGCAATCTTGTTGTTGTTGTTGTATTTTATGTGGCGCCTTATCACGTCGTTGAGACATCTGAAAGCCTCGCTTGCGAGGCGAGCGCTCTAACCACTGAGCTGCAGGACTCCGCGATAATAATAGTAATAATATTAATCTTTGCAGTTGATACAGCTCCTTATCAGGTCATTGGGACGTCTCAAAGCGCTTCACGGAATATATGGTAAAGTGAATCGACCGTAGTGTGTGGGTGAAACAAA